CGGGGGGGTTGGGAGCCGCTCCGCTAAGGGTAGCCTGCCACGGGGAGCCTTTGCTCTCACCCTGCTCCCTCACACATCAGCAGGGCAGGACCTTTAAAGGAGATTTTTTTCCTCCAGTCCCAGACACAGTCCTGACCTCTGAAGTGGTCTGCTGGAACAGGGGGGCAGAGGGGCCTGGGGATCTGACAGGTCTCGCCTCTACTGGCTAGAAACCATTTACAAAGTAGGCAGCAAGAGTATGATTAGATCTTGCAGCATAGACAGACTGAAGCCTTCGTAAGTCCTGTTCCCATAGCATGCCGGAGCTTTGTAAAACCCAAGCCTTGCCATGTGGATTATGATTAACAGATGGTTTTCTCCAAGCTACACTACAATTACTCTAGGCCGGTAGCTCTAAGAACGTGCCTGAGGTCTCAGCTCCAGATGCTGGCCCTCTCCCAGCCCCACACTGAGGGGACATGGGGGTTTGCACCAGTCCCTGTCCCCTTGCTTTACGCAGGCAGAAAGTCCTGCCGGTGACCTGCTGAGGACACCCTGCTCTGGGTGGTGGTGGCCGTGGCTCAGTCTCACAGCCCTAACCCTAGGAACAAGTATTAAGGCCCTTACTAGAGCTAATTGGAAGAGCTGGGATGATTGCAGGTGGTTCTTTATTTTGGCTGTGTCTCTATGCTATTGTTTTGAGCTGTCATTCAAAGAAACATTGCTATCAAAGATCCAGATATTCAGCAGCTTGTGCCGTGAGCACAGGCAGCAACTCCCTGTTTGGCACAGAAGGGCCTTTTAGGTAAAGTCCCCTACAAAGCCAAGGTCTCTAAGGGAGTAATATTTTTGACTTGTTCCCCCCTAGAGTCATGAACTCGGGAATGGGTTTGAACTCATCAGAATCGCCTGTCACCATTTTCTAGCAAAGCAACAATATAAGGAATGAGGATTTGCTACATCTTCTCTTTCCAAAGTGCAGTCCCCTAAAAAGCAGACGAAAAGCCCTTTCTACCAAACAAATAAATTCCTTGTACGGATTTACTCCTATTTCTCCCTCTTATCCACGCACACACACGCACACACACTTCCACTGTGTTTTCTTCAAGTGCTTCAGGGGCACTTCAGAAAATCTCTCCTTTACATCAGCAAGATTGTATACTAAATTTCAGTCAGTGACCCCAGTCTATTTTCCCTCGAGAGATTTTATGATAGCTGGAGAGCCTCTGGAGCTTTTGAATCTTTAATTTCAGGGTCCTTCTGAGAGCAAGGAGCACTGAGAGATTTGCATCACAGTGAGGTCACATGGGTATCACTGATGTGGAGCTGGAAGGCCACAAGATTAAGGAGATGTGACTAAATGCATAAATTGGTCTGGAAAACCTTTAGTACTGGGCGTAAGAAATGAGACTACAGGCTCACAGTTTGACTCTAAGACGCGTGACTGAATTTGCAACAGCAGCTGTTAACGCAGCACATCAGCTAGATGGAAATACAGCGAGGAGAAAGCAGTTTCCATCATTGAAAAATGGACTTAAGCAGTCATTTCCCCTTTCAGGTTATACCTAGATAACACTTCCTAAGCATCCCATTTTAATAGGATCTTGTGTAAACGTTAGCCATCCCGAAACATCTGTGCTCCCTCATCAGGGGAGCCTATGCACCCAGCAGCTAGCCTGCAGGCTTTGAAGGATTCCTCTTCCAGCCAGACTGACAGGCAGGGGGCAAGCCCTGGCCACGGCAAGGAACGGCCCTTCCTACAGCCACGCGAAGTGCAGGGAGAGGAACGGAGTGGAGATGAGTCAAGCACCAGGAGAGAGGATCCTACGGACCACGTGGAGTCGTGTGACTGTACCACCAGAAGCAACATGCATACGGAGCATGGTTATGTAGGATACGGTAACTTTACTCCGGGATACACAGCTTTACAAGCTTTTCTTGTTTTGGCACCCTCTCTTGAGCATTCCTTTCACTGCATTTTTATAGTTTCTAGGAAAGTTTGGAGAAACAAAAAGTTCTTTTTCAAACTAATAAGCTTGACTGTGCCCTTGACTTAGCTCTTGCTTTCCCTCTATCCCATCCCTTTTTCTAAGTAGAAACAACAGTGTAATTTGAAAAATTTCTCTTGGAGACCCCAATCCTTGAGTCTGATGAGAAGGCAGCAGGGAGACTGGTGATTTACAGCAAAACCGAATGTGCTGACTGCTTGCTATTTTCCTTTGCCCTGCATCCGACTGAAATCAGAAACCTGTTTGCCCACTTACTTCATCAAGAAGCTCGTATCACCACCTCTGAGTGCTCCAGCACAAGCCTCAGAGGAAGAAATGCTGCAACAGAAGAAATGATGTTTGTTTGTTTGAGATGCAGTTGTTTGCACTCCAGTCTGCAGAGCTGCTCAGTCTATTCAACTTCCTCTCCCTCCCTTGAAAGGCAGGCTTGGGGGCACCTCCAAAACTCATGCAAAGTCCATCAGTAAACCAATCGTATTTTTTTCGAGTAGAAAATATTGGATAATACCTTATAGCATGATATCTGCATACAGGGATGCAGCCTTTTTGTTATTTGTAAGAACTGTAATGGAACCTTTTATGAGCTGCTGCTAGTGCTTGCTCAGGCATTTTGGTCCCCTGAGGACTAGCCCCTCTCCCTTCTGCTCTTGAAAGCATGAAGAATGGCAATATGGGCTGGGCTGAAGCTGTGGCGTGCTCCCATCCACTTCCCTCGACACAGTGAGAAGTCACCAGCACTCATGCCCCAGGTGGTCCAGACAAAGGTGAAGCTGATGCTGTTGTGTGAGCGCCTGCTCCTTGGCCAAGATGTGCAAAGGGCGAGTACAGATGTCAAAGCATAGCCCACAGCACGAGGCGGAGGTCAGCAAGAGGAAGGGCACGGGCTTTGCAAAGTCAAGGAGATATCCCCACGGTCAGGTGTGATTTGCTCCTTGCTCTGCTCCGTTGGCCTTAGTTTTCCATCCTGAACATCTGTTATGTTACAGTCAGACTCCCTTTTGGAGGGAGCTCACAGATCTCTGCAAGATGAAACCCAAGCACAACTGGTAAGGCAGTTCATAGTATGAATGACCACCACAAATCTGAGTCTCTCCAGGCATGGAGAAAATGTTTGAATAGCATCTTGCAAAAACTGTGACTTTCAGATGCTCTCCTGCCCTGCTCCAAATCTTGCAACATCCACCTTTCATTCACCCCACAAAACAGACACTGGGGCCAGCTGCAACACAGCAACCCGCTATTTTGAGCACTTTAGACTGAAAAGCTCTGAAAAACAACAGCTACCTTGGGGCCACCCACATGGGTCTCACATGACCCTGGCAGCTGGCTGCAGTGAGTGCTGTGCCTGCACTGGGAAGCCTGAGTCTGCTCCCCCACACCGGGCTGGATGTACAAATCCTTCCTTGGTGCAAGCCACCAGGTCCACCCAGCTGCAGGCTGTGATTTTCTCACCATGTAAAAAAATCTGATATGTGAGCGGCCTGAGAGCGAGAACAGCCCCTGCGTGACAGAGACACCCTTGGGGTCCCGGCTCTGGTCCTCAGAGGTGCTGGTCAGAAGAGCTGGAGGGAGATGTGTCAGGGCAGCAGGTGAAACACAGGAAACGAGCAATATCCGTGCAAGACCGTTGTGCAATTGGCTGCCCTTCTGCTGAAAGGCGTATTTAATTCACTCAGAGAAAGGATCTCTGCAAGAGGAAATGGTGCTCACAGAAGAGATGCTGTTTTGTCCCTGGAATTATGCAAAGTGAACGAAAATGCATGGCAGGAAGGTCACTCCTTGTGATTTGCCATTTTCTTTGCCTAGAGACTAGAAAAGGTAATTCTATTTCACACAGAGACAAATGGTTTGCAATGTGCTTCATAGCTCAAAAACAGGCAAATAAAATGTACCAGAGACACCGGAAAAGTCTCACTTGGAAATGAAACACAGCACATGCTACAGCTGAAAGTTAAGCCCTGCAGTTAATGAGGTGTGACTGTTTGCTTTTGCTTTAAAGTCACACCATGCTTTAGACATTTGAAAAAAATCCATTTTAGCTCTAAGAGTAAATGAAAAATACAGTATTTTCCCCACACCCTTTCCCATTTGTACTACTTTTAGCAATGGGCTTGTCCTTGTCAATATATCAAATGAGGCAGATGACGGGTTTCAAGGGCGATGGCCAGGGGAGGAAAATGAAGCCAGGTTGTTGCAGCAGTTCAGTGAGGCTGTGGTGGTCCATCGGCTCCACCAGCAGCATGGGCTATCATGCCGCAGTCCACAGCGCGGCCACCTCTAGCGATGCCTTGCCACTCCGTGCAACGGCAATCGAAATGGAGCGGCTGGAGGCACTGGGGACTATAAGCTACCTCGGGAAAGAAAAGTCAAGTGGTCAAACTAATAAGGGAGAGAAGCTCTCCCTCCCATCCTCTGCAACAGGATTAATGAGAGATGGCAGATCACGGGAAGGGATGGAGGAGCACACGTAAGGGGTCATTACTTGCAGGGGAGGCGGAGATCGTGTTTTGCTCTTGACTGAAATACTAGATAGAGAAGCAAGCGACAAAGACTACTGATACAAAGTGCTTTGCCACTGAAGAGCTAGCATTTTCATTGTCATACTGTGGCGAAAGAATCTGGTGACCTTTGCAGCATTAAATACTTTATTTGGGTATTAGGTATTAAGTATAAAATAATTACCTAGATTTTAGGAAAGGATGAAACAATCAGGTGGCTGAGTGATAAGCACAGCATAAAAATCTAGATGAATCACTGCTGTCACACTCAAGTCATTTTATTCCTTTGAAATTGGATTTCCTGGAATACAGTCTCATGAGATACTCATCTCCTCTTCTAGAGAAGTCTGACAGGAGAGGAGATGCTGCAGAGTGGATTAAGCAAGAGATACGGCTCTAATCCCGGTCTTCCTCTCTCACTTGACATCCCTGAGAAGGGCAGCATCTCTGTCCTTGTTTCTCATTTGTAAAATGGAGGTGATAACTGCTCATCTCTCAGGGACATTATGAAGATTAATGTGTTTACAAAAGCATTTACAATGCTAAGTACTTTTGGTTCCAGTCCTCTGAGATCCAAAATGCCAGCACTGAGGTGCTGAAAATCTTAAACTCTGGCTAACTCTAGTGGAAACTCTGGCTGCCCGGCACTTCACAAGAATGGGGAGAAAGATGTCATTGAAAGAGTCATGAAATCCCATCTCGCTTTATTGCATAACATGAGGGCTGCACTGTGCCGCCACTGTATTTGAAAGGGCAGATAACACAACAAAATCATATAATTTCATGCTAAAAAGGTTTTGTATTCGGAAACACGTTGGTGCAATTTTTCTAGGGACTGATTCCTGCACCTTTAGCTACGACAGGATTTTTTTTGCATTGGTATGGAATACAGTATCAGCCCAGCATCTGCTGTACCGCTGTTAAGCTTTGAACTCCATGACACACAACAGACTTAATTAGCCTCAAAAAAAGTTTGTTTCACTACTACAAATATAGACAATTTTAGACACTTTTCTTGCAAAATATATGCTAAATGAAAGCAAAACCCAAATCAAGGTTCAAAATCCACAATGTTAGCATTTGTGAAGGATACCCAGCACTGGCTCATTACCATATGCTCCTTTCCCCAGTCTGTAGGATCAGACAGAGGAGCAGTTAATTGTGTGTGTATCCTGCAAAGTCCCTGTGTTATTACTACCTCTTCTACTCCATGCAGAAGTGAAAGTCAGCAGCTTCTGCAGGCTTCAGACTTTCTTTCACCACTTCTGTTTTTCACAGTGAACCAAATTTAACAAAGTTGAGAAAGGCACAGAAACAGGGAGGTGCATGGGCTGGAGGAACTGGTGAGCCTGGGATAATGGTCTCCCCATAGGCAGGTCTAACCCCTTGGGTAAGGGGAGGGACAAAAGAGGTTGCAGCCGTATGTGCCAAGGCCAAGGAGCAAAGCAGGATGGTATGGTTTACTGAGAAGCAGAAGACTTTTACCTGGGTGAGAGAGACCCACCTGAGACTGGGTGCAAATCTGCAGAAAAAAAGTCTGCTCATGCAAGACAGCTGCATGCTGACATGTCGCAGTAAAAACCAGCTGAAGAATGTGGTCAGGACTGATAAGATTTTGTGACCAATTCGATATCTACTTTTACACCTGGTGGCTGAGACTTCAGATCTGTGTGTATGGGGCATCAGCTGATTTTTTTTTTTTTATGACAGCAAATGAAAAGTAAATATTAAAGCTGTACACTTTGACTCACTGGTAATACCAATAGAATCCATAAAGTCTTATGTTGTCCTCATATATTTGGCAGGTTCTGAAAATGAAGCTTCAGGAGATGGATCATTACTATTATCCACTGTTACAGTAACACCTCCTCCTGCTACGCATTTTTCAACTGCAGATGACCACAAACCAGTACTTGTCACTGCAAGTGCTACTGAAAGCAGTTTTGAAACAAAAAGTACTCCGAGTACTGAATTGGATGCCACGAACGATCAGGAGAGCCTAGAAGCGACAGAACAGTCTATCTTGATATATGTCGTCCCTGCTGTCCTAACGGTCCTGCTGATTTTGCTGATCATATTTTTCATAATACATCGTAAAAGGAAAAAGTCTAAGCAAGGTAAATTTCTCTCCTCACACATCAGAAGGATATTTTTTAGGACATGCTCGACATGAACAAAATGTTATTTGGAGTGCTGGGATGCCGTATTTAGGATGTACTTCTCTGGCTGTAGTTGCATGTTTGACAGATAGGAAAGCAATGCGCCCCCAGCCAGCAGTATCTCCTTGGGCAGGAGCTCACACTGCACAGCCACGGGAGCCGCCGCACCAAGCTCCAGCTCCTGGTGGTGCCGGGATCGCCGTAAGGATGTAACCATGTGCTGCAAGCACTTATTCTTTATGCTTAATTGTGCAGCGTGAATTTAATGCTCCTCTTGCCTAGACTGCCCACAAGGTAAAGCTGCTCAGAGCTTCAATAAAATAAGAACAAGCAAAACCATTTTAAGCAACATTTTTAAAGGATCCTGTGGGGTGGTGGCAGCTCTGCAGCTGTCACAGTAAATGAGGTAGGAGTGCCATGGTCAGGCTGACCAGGGGCTGCAATAGGGAGAGCGGCACTTCAGGAAAGTACCTTGATCTGTTAGCAAAGAAATGGGTGACTTGGAGTGTGAAGCAACAGGAAACAGCCTGAGGTGCCATATTAAAACCCTGCAGTTGGTAAGTCAAGTCCTGAAATGGTCATACTGGTGTCCCTACAGAACAGGAGCATAGCTGTAAACTCCTCAGCCTGCAGACAGTGACATACATTCAATATAGATTTTAAGTCCATTTTTCAGGACATTTTTAGGCTGCACCTGTCTTATCACCAGGTCACCCTTGTAGCAAACTCTGAATTCACAAGCAGGCATCTAGTTCCCCACCTGTTTCTGGACGACCTGAAATGCAGGTACACTCTTTGGAGTGACAGGAAACATGGGGCCTTGCAGAAACACCATCCTGGGATCTCTTGCCCTGTGCCAACTGCTGGAAGTTGGGATTTGGGGCATCCTCAGGGCAGGGAGCAGATGGCTCCATGGCCCTGGGTGGCTCTGCAGCGAGGGAATGTTCTGGAACAAGTGGCAACACTGAATTAAAAATAAGTGATTTAAGAGAATATATAATGTGGATCCTATATGTAGTTCTTCATCCTTTTTTGAGGGCTGGGGCTTTTCAGGCACTTGATTCCTGTAGGAGAATTTATATGAATAATGGCTGTTACACTAATGCTGTTTCCATCTTTACTTTGTCTTGGGGTCATAACTAGCTTTGGTTCCCTTTTGGCATCTGGCTAGTTCAGCTTCATTTACCTAAGATTTAATCTGCTACACAAGTCCTTCCCCCCCTTCTTCTCTCCATGAGTGGCTCCAAGAGTCTCCAGGCAGAGACAGATTGCTTAGATGGAATCTGCAGGAAAACACCCCGATCCTTACAGTAAGCAATAGTTTTTTACAGCAGTGGTTCCTCTTCAGGATGCCACTTTTCTCACGACATCTGTGTTGCTCAGGGAAGTGTGCATCTGCCATGTCCTGCCCACCACGGTGCAAACAGCCGGTTTCCTCCCAGAGTTAATAATGAGCTGCTTTTAGTGCATTCAAGATTAAAAATAATGGGTTCCTCTGAAAATTACAAACAGGATGTTTGGTCTTTCATCTACCAGTTAACTCCTATGCCTTTTGAAAATGCAGCCTGTTTTACATGACCCTGCTCAAGGCTTGCCTGCAGCCTGGGCCCTGCATACACAAAGCGAATTATGAACACCAACTTTTTTCTTTTCCAGATGAGCTGGGAAGCGAAAACGTGAAAAGGTAAAGTTTATGAACATCACTTATTTTTTTGATTCTCTAACAGGACATGATGATTTTGGACTCCTTCACTGCCTGCTTTAATTTAACCATGCACTCACCACTGTTACCTTTTGCCATCAATTGCTCCAGTTAACTATGGCTAGAAGTGGCCAAAGTGGGACTTCACTATTTAGCTGATGGTGTAAGACTAGAGGAGAACAGGAGTTACGGTAGCCAAGGCAAGCACTGCCTCACAGGCACCCACCACCTCGAGCCGCCCCAGTGCCCATCTGGGCACTCCCAGCTCCACCAGCCACAAGATGCCACAAGCTATAGATGTCCCATGGGCAAAGGGGATCAATTCCCAGGCTCATCACAGGCTTTTACTATTCAGAATAAGCTCTGTGTGTTGCTCCCCTGTTTTTCAAGTTAGGCTTCTCTGAGGTGAGGCAGAAAGGCTCGCCCAGGTGCTGTGGAAACAATGCCTTTGCTGCTGGGAAAACAAGCCAAAAGCTGCATGACTCTTATCTAACTCATAATTTTTATCATTACCTTTAATTGACCTCCATCTTGCTAATCAATGCTGGAAGTTAAATTGGCTTCACAGGGGAAAAAAAGGACGTTCTGCTAAAAATATTTTTTCTGCCATGTGACTCCAGGAATGAGCAGCAAAGAGAAGCTAAAAAGAGACATTTAAATAAATGCAGAGTTACTCTACTCGTGACCTTTCCTTTTGAAGTCACTGCCAATGTCAGCCACAGCTAAGGCGAAACTTTAGGCCCTCTGCTTTTATCACTGGAGCAACAGGACTTTTGCCACGTGTTCTAGCAGGGCAGAGACAAACTATTTTGTTTATCAGTTTTCTGTTTACAGTAGGGACAGTTCTCAAATAGCTGCAGTGGTCCTGTGCTCTGACGCACCCCAGACTGCACCCTCTAAGTCATCCCTCTGCGCGTGATGTCCCTGCCAGCCCTGTCTCTGCCCGGGACTGGCTTCTCACTGCCACTCCTTCACATCCATTTGCAGTCATTTTATTCACACCCACTGGGCTTCTCAGATGACTAGGCTAGGATGGCTTTCCAGAGTTCCTACACGCATCTGGAATGATGAAAGACTCTTATAAAATTACTACATTGTAAGCTGAATTAAGCATTTTGTGTAATGCCTTTTTTTCCCCTTCCTCCTCTCAAGTCCTATTTTTGAAGAAGACACGCCCTCTGTGATGGAGATAGAAATGGAAGAGCTTGATAAATGGATGAACAGCATGAACAAAAACGGTACACGGTAACCCCTCTACTCCATCATCCCTCTCTTTCTAGCTGACATAGATCCCATGCGTAGAAAAACAATGTAATGCATTTTGTATGTGTGTCACTGCTTTTCCTACAACATTTTTAGTTGCGTTCCTGACTCCGTGCTACTAAAATAGCAGCACAAATGTCAGGGCTAGAATTCTTCAGAGGAGTATTTTAGTTTGTGTGGGAGCTTATTTTTAACATATGATGGAATATCATAAATGTTTTGAGTTTCCAGTAGACACTTCCATTAAACACACATACAGCTGTGAACAGTATTTATATTTTTAAATACACAGGTTTTAATGCTAAGTACTAGTTTCTCTGAAGCATCTTCTCCTTTCAGTCTTCAGATTTTCTCCAGTTCTGTGCTCTACATTGTACTATTGTAGAAGAAACATTTACTCACAGTTCAGACCACCTTCTACTTAAAATTGCTGCCAGGATCATGTGAATATATCCTTTCCATTTTTGTGTCCTTCCCCTCACTTGCCATCTCTACCACATTCACTGTTCCCCATCTACATGATCTCCAGCAAGTCTAGCAGCCCATGGAGCAATTGGTACCCATGGTAATTACCACCAGCACCTTCAGCTCCTTCTTAGTTACTTCAAAGTATTTGCATTTTTCCCCCAGTTTCCTCCCAGATGAAATCCCCCAGTTAAAGTCTCTAAGGGCCTTGCATCCTCCTTCAAGTCTTTCCTCAAAAATGCAGGTCTTCATAAGGCATGAATTAACCAAGGCCTGATTTTGAACAACTAACAGCTTTTCACTGGTTAGGAAATGCTGAGACCCGATTTTTTTTCATTCCTGGTCCCTTGTCTTACATCCAAATGGCTCATTTGCCTGACCTCCTAGGGATGCTTTGTTTTTCAGGCCATAAAACTCTTTGGAGCATTTCTTTGCATTAACACAGTGCTCCACACGATGGGGTTTTGACCTTCGCAGTCCGTAAGCTCTAGCAGAAAACACGTGCTAAGCGGCAGTAGTGAAATAGAGGCATTAAGTATAGTAGATGAGGAAATAGCATTGTAAAATATTTGTTAAAACTCTGTGGACATAAAGGAGCAAATGGTGTACATACAAGTTGGTTGGTGGTTTTTTTTTGTTAGTGTTCCCTAAATCCCAGCCAGGCTATAAAGCATAGGTGCAACTACAAGCAGTGGAAGATTAACAAACTGTCCTCCCCATGGTAGTTCATAGGAAACAGTCCTCAAAAGTAGTTCATTTGTATAGGTGCACATAAACAACTGAAATATATATATATAATAAAGAAATTACAGCAGCACCTATCACAGGTAAGGAGGATTTAAGACACGCTATGTGGACTATGCTGATTTTACAGATAAAAGGGTGCATCTGCAGTTTCACATTCTAGAGAGATTGCACCAGAAAAGTTGATGTAATTTTGAAATTAATGGAGAATAACTGCCAAGAGTAACTATAGCTTTACTTCTTATCCTTTTTCAGCGGACTGTGAATGTTTGCCTACTGTAAGAGAAGAAGAAAAAGAATCGATTGCCAACCCAAGGTACTTCTAATTCATTATACTATTTGAGGAAATATGGTCAATGTCATTCCAAAATAATCTCATTTTTTCAAATATGTAATTATAGAGTGATTCTTTGGTCTATTTAAGTTTTAAAGGTTTTATATATAGGGACTTCGATTTCAACTTAAATGGTTTGACGCACTTATTTCTAAACTGGTCTCTGCCTGCAAATTACACCCCTAAATAATCTTGTGGTTGTAAACCTGTGCAAGGCAGACCACCAGATGCCACAGGCAGAGTTTCACTTGCTGATCGGTCTTTAACCACAGTTTCCCAAGGTGTTAATATGAGCATTCAGCATAGCTTCCTTGGCACTCCTCACCAGCATGGACACCCAGCTCCCATCTGCCACCAAGTCTCCAAGAACCACTGCTAGATGTTCTGGCTGGAGCTGTGACCTGCCAGACAGGGGCTTGAGAAGGCAAGAGAAACCTGAAGGATATTCCCAGGACCACTGTGCAGCACTCCCCCAGAGCTGGCCCTAGCTCATGGTCCAAGCAGAGATCCCAGAGGGATGCCAAACTCCAATCCTGACAGCTTGTAAACTTAAAAACTTTGTGTCTGGTTTCTTCAGGATTTTGGCCAGAAACAGGACCCTCAAACTCCTGTTTTCCCTAATAAAAAACTCTGGATCCAGCTGGAAGCGAGGGGCTGTGCATCATCCTTGCCTGCACACTTGTGTTGCAGCTGCATTTTGGGGAGTGGGCAAGGCAGCTCCTCTGCGCCAGATTACGGTAACAAACAATTAAACCATCCTGGGTGCCAAGAAAATCCCTGGTGCAGTGGAAGCAGCAGATGCAGGCAAGGCCAGGAGCAGGGAGGGGTGGCAGGAGGAGGACCTAGGTCTTCCACTTGCCATGGCACCAGGTAGCTCAACATGCCTCTGACTGAGCTGCACATCCCACTGGAAACCATCATAATATCCCTGTCCCCCTCTTTTCAGAGTTTCAGGAGTGAAATAGGGGTGATGTTAAATCACCACTGCTGCAGTTTGCAACTCAGTCACTTCAAAGCTGCCGTTTCAGGGTAGCTTTTGGATAGGGCAGCTCCACTGCAGCTATTTGTATTTAAAAGGTTGCTGCTTATTTCTCTGTAAGAGAAATCATCATTGTTGTATTGTGGGGTTTTTTTTGTTGTTGTTGTTATTGTTGTGGGGGTTTTTTTTTTTTTTTTTTTTTTTTTAAAGGCTTAGGTGCTAGGTTCCAGATGCAGGCAAGCACAATCATTTTACCCTGAGCAGCTGGAAAAGATGCTGGATTCACTAGCCATCTGGGTCTTCCCTTCCAGCCTCTAAATGATAACTCAGAGGGGGGAAATTGTTAAGGAGAGGCAGCTGCACAGTGGTTCTCTAAAAAACAGTTTTGCTCAGTGTACCACTGACTATAGTCAGGAGTATGGGACAAAGTGTGCTTGAGCCATATGCTAACACCACCAGAAGGTAGTCATACTGTAAAAGGCTTTTTAGGCACAACACCACCCTGAGCATTAAGTTTACCTTCCAAAACTTAAACAGTTCATTTTCAGAAAAAAATCATCATGACCTACCAGCTTGAGCTGACATTTTAAAATACCATCCTTGCTAAAGTGATTTTGTAGTGAATTTGCATTAACCCCATCAGAAGGTGGTTTTTTGCTCCCAAGTGGCAACAAGTATCCTTGGGCTACACCCCACCTGTGAAATAGAGATATCGTCACTTCAAAGCACTACAGTGAGGCTTAAGCCTTGATGCAAAGCAGCAGCCCTGTTCAGATAAATATGTTTCAGCCAGAGTGAAGGTACACATATTATTTAAGCATATTTTCTTATGACTGGTATCTTAGGATCAGACTGTAGAGAAATTTATGCCTCTAGGTTTTAGGAAGGCAAACAAATGCAAATTAAAAAAGGAGATTTATCCCTAAAACATTCAGAGCTGCTCAGACAAAGGATATAAATGGAATACAAAGTACAAGATTATTAGGTTCCATTTCAGATTCTGAAAGACTGCTTTGTTTGGGCAAATTTCTTCTCAGATTATGGTAATTCCTTTTTTTGATTTTACTGATGATATTTCAGTATGGGAAACATCGCAAGGCCTCACAGAACACAGCTGGCTGAGTGTTGTTTTCCTGCTACATAAAGATGCTGGGGGGAGTTCACCAAGACCCAAATGTTTTGAATTATGAATTGATTTTGATAAGATACAACCTTGAAAACCTCTGATACTAGACATTTCAGTAATGACATTTTGACATTTTCAGAATGAAAGTTTTTCCAAAACTACTTTTCAGAGTGACTTTTTAGTATAAAATTTTAAAAAGGTTTAAGCAACAGAACCATGTGGTGGTGAAATATTTCTAAGTTAAGTGTTTCCCTTAACTCAAAACTACTTTTTCAAATTTAATTTTACATGAAATTTTGAAACATGCTTCATTTCAAAGTGAAAAGGTATCACAAGTGGTGGGATTTCCTGGTAAACAATAAAAAATTGGTTCCCATTTATTTCTGCAATTGAACCGTAATAGACCAAGATCTGCTTCTTTTCCTGACCAAACTCTTAATTGAATAGCATCAGAAAGAACTACATACAGATAAATAGATGTTTTCAGCAGCTCTCTTGAGCAAGAAAAGTGAAAGACTATGAAGTAAAATGAAACAAAGCTATTATTACAGCAAAAATTTGTATACATGAGCATCAAGGCTGCAGATTTGTGCACAAGAGGCAAGATATGACAGCCTGGGCTCCTTTGTAGGTGGAAGTCATCTTCCTTGCATGTAAGCTAAGTTAAAAATATGTATATCTAAATATACATTTAAAAAAATACATCTTTAAAATAATGTATCTTACTTTTGAAACCTAGTGCTAAAATCCTGATTGTGCCTGAGCAAAGAACCACAAAGTCTCCCCAGGCTTGCTGGGGCCAGGGTTCCCATCCTGTGTCCACAGGAGGGAGCAGGCAGCAGGCAGGCACAGGGCTGGCCGGCAAGGGCTGATGCTCCTGGGTGCGTAACCGGGTACAGGACCAACCCCTTCTCTGGAGACCTTTATTTCCCCAGCAAAACAGAAGTGCAGCCCATCCCTTTCACAGCATGGGTATGATAAAGCAACTCCCCCCCCAGCTTTATCACACCTCGCAAGGGTGTTTGGTTTTTCTTGGGCACTGCTGGGCACCCTCCTAGTCTTTCTATCCAAAAAAGGGTGACGCTTCCTTACGGAGAGATCTTCTGGGTGGGGAATAAGGCTGTACAGAAAGAAATACTCATTTCCCAGGCACACTGTGGCAAGGTACTTAAAAAAACCATACAAAACATTAAGATTACAAGCAGCCCTTTTAACTTTAGAGGTGGCTTAAACCCCTGCTGTTAATGCTGATTGAAATCTAAGCAGCCGATAAAAAATGTCACATTTTTAGTGTTGGCATGAACCAGCCATTATTAAGAGAGTGCTAGGGAGCAAGCTAGCTAGGCAGAAGCCAATGGGACAAAGAGCAAATTCACCTGTTACGAGGCCAGATTTAATACAGAAATTCCATCTGTAAAAAACTATCCTTACCTGTGGAAGGAGACCAACTTGATTTCTCAGTCCTCAGCTGGAAGCAGGAGGAAGGGTGCACTGGGTAGGCAACCACCCACTAGCAGAGAAGACAGGCCCTTGCTGCCAGCATCTAGCACCAAAGGTGGGATCACTCCATGCATTGCATGGCTGACATTTGTTTTCCAATAACACCTTCTCATGGACTCTCCAGAGATATTCTTGTGTATTATTTCCTGTCGAGACAACTAACCCAACAGCATGACACCGGTGTGTTTTTGTTTTCTTTTCCCTGTGTACGCAGTGATGGTGAATCATGAAGTCAGAACAGCAAAGAACCGGTTAAAGGGAAGCAGCACACAAGCTAACAATCCCCTAGATACTAGATGAACTGGATTTAAATATAATTCATCTCAAAAGGCCAAAGAAGCAAATGCTTTTGTTGTGTCCTGCTACATACAGTCTTCAGAAAGGAGACATCACCAAGGGGAAGAAAAAAAAAAAAGAAGAAAAGGAAAATCACAATAGTAAGATTAGGGGCTGATTTAAATTCCTTCTGCAATGAGATTCATCACAAATCAAGAGAAGCCTCTTTCCACCTCCCAAAAAAAATGCTCAAAATAGTCCATGTTTCTGTCTAGTTCTTCAGCTGTATATCATACGGAACAACTTCTGTTCCAAGTTTGGTGGGTTTCCTAGTATGTTTTATGGGTGTTCTTAAGTATAAACAGCATCCATAATTCTAGACTGCTCTGGTTGGGTGGATGTGAAGCTCATGCCTACACAATGTTTGTTTTTCAATTTGCTTTTTGGGAACAGCACACTGATTTGCACAGGACTTCTGCTGGGGAGGTACCAGACCAGGACTGACAGACCAAGCAGCTGAAAAGCCTTTCAAAGTATTCGACAAAAGCAACTGTAGCCCAGCAAGGGCATGCCTTTGTGGCATGCTTTTTGATTTTCAAATTAAAGGCATTGTAGAAGTGAAAAATATTATTTTGAGGTTGCCTTTCAGTTCGTTATCTTCACAGATTAGTACCCTGGGCCAGCTCTCACCATTTCACCCTCCTCCCTGCCCAGTGCTGTTCTCTAACGACCACCTACTTCAGCAACATCCACCTTGAAAACATTTCTTTTTAAAAAATGAGAGGTTGAAAAATGGAACAATTCAGTACTCACACCAAACAAGTTTAGATACGCATGTGTCAGGCATAACTACTTGATCAAGGTTTTCAGATGCAATAACATTTCCGCTTCTTCTCTTTTTGAATATTGAGCTTGGAATATCTGAAAGACCTTGACTTCTAAACATGCCTAGTCACCCTTAACACAGAAAAAAAAAAAACAAAAAAAACCAGACTCCTGAGATACCTCAAGGAGGGAATATAAAGTATTTTATGTGGCATAGTCACCCTTAACACAGAAAAAAAAAAAAAAAACAGACTCCTGAGATACCTCAAGGAGGGAACATAAAGTATTTTATGTGGCCTGTCTCTCATGGATGTAGTTTAATACGTAACACACATGAAAGTGGATCCTTGTCTGTGCAAAGCCTTATTTAAAATATTAAATTCACATCCTACCATATCTTATATCCTACCTAACCTCATCTTCTGTTTAAATATGTAATTTCTTCCCACTCAATACATGTTTAATATGATTAGTTTTGTTTGCCTGCAAATATTTCACTAATATGTTGTCATGCATAGCTTGGTTAAAGAGAGCAAACAAATTCCCCAGGCCTCTGGGATGACAGCTGAGTGCCACTAACAGCTGACAAATACAGAGGAGGTTTCAGCTTTGGGAGTAATTGAAGATGTGTCAAAATAGAAAAGGAAAAAAATGTTTACAGCTAACCATATTCATTCATTAGTGAATATGACTTGACTAGTAATTTCCTCAAAGAGCAAAAGATTTCTTCATTGTTCTAAAACAATTTATTGCAAATATTGGATTTAATATATGAGTGATGACAAATTAATTTTCCCTCCTTGGATGATTTTTAACTTCAAAAAAAAAGTGTTTTAAGTTCATCTTTCACCACTTTTTTTTTAAGCATTTCCACAAGTTCCTGACAGTAAACTCAGAATATTGATTTAAAATAATGCAATCACAAGGGGGGGGAAAAGTGAAAGACTGAAATTTATAAAACTAAAACACCTAAAGTGGATATTTTCTGGTAGCAGCTTTGTTAGCAACTTCCTTCCAACAGATAGAGACAT